TCATGATTTACATTTTCAATATGTTAAAACGATTAAAAATAAAAGTAATGCTTTAAAGATTACTGAATATGGAACAGAACATCTTGCTTGATGATTTAGAGCATGTGTTCAGGGGGTTCTACATGTATACCGCAACCATTTCAAGTGAGCTCAAGGTCTTTCTAAGTATTAATCTATAACTGATTATGAAATTTTACACAATAAAAGGTTCTATTATTATTACAGCATGACAGGCACTCCTCTAAAACATGGGGGGAATCATAAATGTACCAATTCAGAATTGATATAAAGTTGATGGATTATGGTTAACAGCAAAGGATCTACAGCAAATATTGCAATATGAAACAGAAAAAAATTAGGCCAAAGTGAACTTCTGGCACTGCACAGTAACTCTTTTCTATATAATCTTATAAAATGTTACACAAAACTATTTAATGTCAGATGATATTTAGCAACAACAGAAGCAAAATATAGCCTTATTGATCCAGAAAAACTAGGTCAGAAAACCTAATTAACCTAAACATAATAAAGACAGAGCACAAACCATTTATTTTCTATAGTGAAAAAATATCAAGGGATTTAATTCCTTCATTAATGAATAAACAGATAGTATATATATAAATCTTTAATGTTGAGTCTTTCTGAAGCTAGATGTTTCAAGATGCCTCACAGTATGATACCCTGCCTTTTCAATTATCATGTGCATAATAATTACTTGTGGTTCTTCATTATTCCAAAACAGACTGCTTTCCCAGATAAAAAGCTAGTTTTCTTTGGATTTAAATTGGCCAAGGGTTATTTGTTGTTTGGTTCCAACTGACCCAGTTGTTTCAGGGGGAAAGATATTCATTGTTAGATTAGAATAATGGCACAGTGCTTTTGGAGAAAAAGATATTTGTTGTCTTGTTAGAATTGGCAAGTGTTTTCAGAGGAAAAGTTATTTGTTGTTTGGTTTCAATTGGCTTACTGGTTTCAGAGGAAAAGATATCTGTTGTTTGGTTCCAATTTTCCAGTGGTTTCAGATGAGTAGATATTTGTGGTTAGGTTAGAATTCATGCACAGTGGTTTAAAAGGAAAACATATTAGTTGTTTGGTTCCAATTGGCCCAATTTTGTTTCAAATGAAGAATATTTATCTTTTGGTACCAATTGGCCAATGTTTTCAGAGGAAAAATTATTTGTTGTGTGGTTCCAATACCTTGTTTGGTAGTACTTTAATTTTTAGGTCAAAAAGGGTCTGAATAATGTTAACATAAATAACAAATCCAACTTCAGATATTTGTATTCAATATAAAAATTACAATTATGAAATTTTAATGTACATAAAATTCTTAATTAACAATAATCATACAACAAATAAATTTTCTCTTTTTGAAACTCCATTTTAAAGATAATTCTCCCTATTATAAGGCAGGTGATACCTGATGAGCTCAGGATGGTTCAGGTGCATGATTGTTTTACTTATCATCACACTTTTTGGTAATCAGATATACAAATTAGCCAAAAATCATATGCTCCTTTAGGTCAAGGATTTGTATAGTCCTTGTTTTGGTGTATTCAGATAAAAATGTGTGGGTAATTGTATGCTTCTTTATGATGTTTTGAGGATAATCCTGAAAAAAACGAAACAAAGGAAAGAAGTTTTCCACCATGTTGTTAAAGCTTTTTATCATAGCATGATAGTGCTACCTCACTGTAGACTATAAAAGCAACCTGTCTACATCATTATGCTCCCTTTAGAAGGATATAATACATAATAAAAAGGATAATAGGACAAAAGACTGCATCCACTACCAACAACAGACAACTCCTCAAAAATAAATCTTTACAAAACATACAAACCAAAACAAAACAATGCTTAGTCCATACATCCCATTGCATCATTATAAAAATTATTTTTATATAGATATTGAAAGAGCGAAATACACCACTTGGGAAAGAGGGTCTGTTCAGGGTAGCCAGTATGGATTGAAATTTCACTGGTGTTTAATGCCACTTTCAGCATTATTGTGCTATTACGTAGTGTTAAGTTTTTTTTTTGTGGAGGAAGCCAGAGTGACTAAAGAGAACCACCACCCTTCAGTACGAAAACTGACAACTCTAGTCAATAAAGATTGAAGTCCAGCACATCTGCCACATGCAGGATTCGAACTCACAACCTCGGTGTTGACAGGCCAGTGATACAGTTAAGTTCTACTTAACTTGGACCACTCATAAACGATTGAAACCTCAAAAAAAAAGAAAAGATCCCTTTTATTTAGCCATCCAAGGTTATTGAAAGGGTTCTTTTATAAATAGTCTGTGAAAACAACACAGCACTCTACCATTATTCAATGGTCTCAGATATTCCATATATTTACAGACATGATAATTTTCATTATTGATAAACCCAATGATGAGTGTGAACATGTCTTATGATAACACTCACTGAATAACATGCATCTACTTGGGTTTCTAACTTTTAAGATTATGAAACATAAAACAAAATGTCAATACAAATTATCTTTCCGCAAGTCTTTTTTTTTTTTTAAGTTTTATAATATACTGTTAAATGTTTATAGGCATGAAAAAATGTCCGTGTGTTTTTCATTCCTTTAGTTGCAAACAGTTATCAGTTCTAAATAAATATTAGACTGACACTGGATTTCTTGTAAATAAGACCATAAAATTTTTCAGACAGTTTTATACAAAATGTATATACAGGTATACCAACTTCAACTTAGTTGACATAAATACCTTTCAGATTAAGTTTGTCCCTGTTTTTTAACTCAAGGTAGTGTTATGAGGTGAATTGTCTGTACATGTATGAACAAATATATATATATATGGCAAATAAATTGTTGAAAAAATTTCTAAAATGTAATATAATGGGATTTCTCATCACAATAAAAAAAAAAACCTGTAACCCATTAAAAATCGTCTTTTTCCTTATTTTCTTTTTAGATTTTTGTTCCTTTATTTTTCAATTAAGGAGTTATAGAAAACTTTTAACATTAAAGAGGTCAAATACGAATAAAAGGATTCAGGGACACTATAATTGTAAATAAGTACCAATACATCTAGTAGTTGGGGAACATCTTAAACAGACTACACAATGTGGCAAACTTAAAGTTTACTAAATTATAGTCAAAGAATTGCCATCAATTCCAAATTCGTCAAATAAAAAAAATTACTCATTTATTAAATACCATATGATCAAAATTTAAATCATATTTTTGAGTTGAGTAAATAGGTTCTATCATGATTTAAGTAACAATCTTTCATCAAAACAATATAGCCTGTTTTATAATCACCTCAAACCAAAACAATACAGGCATACCACTGCCTAAATTCCTAAGTTAATTAGTTATACAATCTTCACAGTTTAATGGCCATATACTATGTCGGGTGTGGCATTGCAATTACATTATTAAATTACAAATATAAGACAATACTATACTTATATACATCCAGGTAAGGAGTCAATGGGCGGGGTTTTTGATTTTCTTACAAAATATGAATTGACTTGTTGTTTTCAATTGACCTACTTCCTGATATTAATATCTGCATAAAATTTACTTTTACGAAAAATTATTACATGTATGCATTATGTTTAAGTATTTCTTAAGTACATTTATTTCAGTATTTACCTAAAATGACATGTAATAATGGAGAGGTAATTAAAATTTGATCCATTGGTATGAAAATAAAAAGTTCACAAATTTAGTATTTAATTTCAAAATAAAAGATAAATTGCAGCGATAAATAAACATATTAAAAAGGTTTATTAGATTGAGTTTTATTCAGCAAATATTTTGAAAGAAATAAAATTTATCCCATGTGTGCACAAAAAAACAATTTTATTCTACATTATATATGCACTTGAGAGCCCTTCACTGGAGCAGAATTCTGTTTCACATGATAAAGGTTTTGTTAGGTGTGTTTTCTCTAACAGCCAGTCATAAAGAACTGAAATGACATTGAAAGCAACTTATCCAAGTTAGCTTAACCACACAATTATTTGAAATTAATCTATTGAAAGGCCCTATTCAGATCAACATTGATTTTTTCATACTATATTTCAATTAATTTATTTTCCATAAAGAAACTGTTTGAATGGTTTCATTAAAAAAAAAGTAAGAAAATAATAACTTTTAACAGAGGGAGAGTCAGAAAAGAAAAAAAATATTGATTATAAAAGTCTCAAAAGCTACCAAAAATAAAATTAAAGAATGTACAACAGCTTATTTTAAGATGTGTTATAAAATCATAATATATTGAAATATGTAGAATACATGTACATCTGAACTCATGGACTACTATTAGGTCTTTAAAAGATATTGAAAATAGTAATGATATTTATTCTATTATAAATTTTTATGTAATACACTTGTATGTTACAAATTAAAATGTATGGGAAATATAAAAAGTTTGTTTATACCAGTTGAGCTCAAATATTATGAAAAAAGTTTCCAAAAGACAAATCTTATATTAGCTGTAATTCAATTTGAAAAGGAAACAAAATTAACTGATTTCTAGAAAACAACATGCTATATTTCAATGCCACAGTGTAAAAAATAATAAATGTGTGAAAAAAATGTTCTTCCTTCAAAAACATAACTGATTTCAGATTTTATTTTGAACTGTTACAAACGTAAAGACCTTAAATGGGAATATAGGTACTTGTAGCTTGATTGCATTCTTTTTCAAGCATGTATGTGTATTTGAAAATGCCATTGAAGAGCTATTATTGAGTCATTTCCAATTGAAAATTATAATAATTGAATAATAAAAAAATACAAGAGCCAAAGTTCTAAGAAAGATTTTAAATTGCTTGATAGATGTTGCAAAATATATTATTTTCATCAGGTTCAATACAAAAATCAATACAGATTCTATTTTCTAGACATTGACCGTGACACAGATTCTCATGAAATATACAAATGTAAATACACAAGAAAGACCAGAGAAAAATGAAGGCAGTGTATTGTTAACACATTAGAAAGAGAAATGATTGTTTACCTGATCACTGAAGACATCCTGATGAAAGTCTTCCTCTATTCCGTTTTGCCCAGCATTAGAAGTTGTGGACACATTGTTGATATCGTTAGTAGACATATTATGAAACCAATCCGTAATACTCTCACACATTTTGACTGTTGTGCTCAACAATTCTACGTACGTCAAAAGATGTGCATCCAATTAAAATAATTCTGATCAAATTAAATACACAACAACTAATAAAATAACGAATTTTCCTCTCTTTCCTTTCCCACTGCAGTAAGATAGTAGTGTGTTTATTGCACCTTGCTTGCTAACAAACAGGTAAACTTAATTGATCATGTAGATTTCTCAACGAATCGTTGATTGCATGTGTATTGAAAAATAAACACCTTTAACCTCGTTGTCCCCGTTCAAAAGTCAATACTTGTCAGTTAATCAGTTGCAACATAAAATACATCACTATTTACGAGCAAATTTTACTAAAGGATGCAACACATTGTAATCCTCTCAAGATACACACGGAACTTTAAATAAACTGTTGTTGTCTAATCATAATAACCAACGTTTCTTCAACGACTGATCAGTTGGTTTTTTTTTTCACATACAAGACTCGTGTATAATATATGTGGGTGATAAGTGTCAATAGCACATATACCTTGATTTCCCGTCGAATATCTTTGTGAATTTAATAACCTATAATCCTACGTAACGCGACAAACAAATTCAGCTGTCCGTCAAGGTAATAACACTCAGGTGCGATCAAGAAAAGCAGTTCTTTTTTACATGTGTATCTACGCGATCTTTCCACTCCAAATAACACGGTTAAAATCCAATCATATAGTATTTTGGTTAAGTTATGAGGTAATTTGCCTTACGGTTTTACAACTTCATGATCTTAATCATAATTTGTTTGTAGTGAAATGTAGCCTTCCTACTTATTATTTTTTCACAATGTTCTGTCTGCCCTCGTCTATTCTCTGTAAAAGCTGTAATTTGATGCAACCCTCTATCAGAACTATGCCGTTAACCTACTTCAAACTTATAAGTAGCAGTAAACCGCCTTGATAAGAAAATTCAACTTTTTTTTAGATAACCGTACTCCACGACACCGAAGTTATTCTACGCCAAGGCCATGGTAAATTAATTTTGAACTAAGATTCTGTTCACAAAATTTCTGTTGTAATCAAAGCAAATAAATACCTCAGAACTCAAACAATAGGTCATTTAAGTCCTGTTTAAATGTACGTAAATATTGGCTTCATATTGACAATGCCAAGTTGTATTTTACTTTGTAAACAAGCTATTGAATGTGCTCGAATGGGAAAACTCGACAGAATTCTTTTACAATTTCTAAAATAAATTAGACATCCCTTGAGCTACGCTAGACTTCTATTGGCCAAAAATATTTGAGCATTTCTATCAACAAACTTTAGCCTTGTATTTGAACGATAGCAATATACTGGTAGGGATTAACAATAATTAATCACCAATTACGATGTACATAATAGATTTTCAAAACTGAAAAAAGAAAACCCCATTCTATCTACGCCAAAGATAAGAAAATTCGAAGAACATATACTATTCAAGTATGGCAATCATATAAAAAAAACAAAGTCCAAAATGTCTCATGACACTGGCTTTTGTACCAAACCATCTAGCAAATGATTTATAACAGAAAAGTTGTGGCAATATTTTTGGTTTTCCTTAAAATAATATGAATAAACGGAGATGTGGGATATACGTAAAAGCAGAAGTCCATTTCTAGCCATAGCCATAGCAATGTATTTTTGGTACTAGATGACACCATTTACAGTCTTCGACAAACGACAGGTGTCCTTACAACCGTACAACATACCGACAACTTTTTTCCGTATGATGCGTATTTCAGCATAACTTTTGATTACTTTCTTGGTTGAACATCGATGAAACGGGAACACCACAATACAATTTAAAGCTTGACATACGGTAGACATGTGTCTGCTGCTGAAGAACATATGACGACATACGGTAAAGACACGTGTCCACTGCTGAAAAACATTTGACGACATACGGTAAAGACACGTGTCCACTGCTGAAAAAACATATGACGACATCGGTGTTAATCGTTATAATTGGGCTGCTACATTACTTCTCAATACACTGTTCATACTGATTCAAAGGAAAACAAAAGGACCACGAGTATGAAGAAACTCGTCTGAGGTCACACATTAGTTTGAACAACACCACATTTACATCAGCAGAATATAATTGGCAACCGACCAAGGTCATTTACATCACGATATCTACTATCCTTAACTGACCTCTACTTATCAGGTCACCTGTGTGTTCATTGATGTAATGGTCAGTTGATCTCGTCAGGTTTTACTATGAAGAATCTAGGTCAAATCCATGCCGAAATACTAGGAAAGTAACATACCACATCATAAATAATACTGACAACCAAGAGTACAACCACCTAAACTGACGGATCAATATGCACAACGATTCCCAATTCACAGCTAATTAATGTCCATGTTAAGTTAACATACACAAACAATTTTTTTCATAATATGAATCAAACGAGAGAAGTAATATATATTTGGATATAATAATTACGAAAACCTGTATAGTTTTCTTAATTCTGAAGCTGAACAAGGAAAGGATGTAATGGTGTTTCAGTGGCGGATCCAGGGGGAGGGTTCCGGGGGTTGGAACCCCCTTTCTTTTGGACGATCAATGCATTTGAATGGGGACATATTGTTGGACCCCCCCCCTTTATCCTGGGTTGAGAACCCCCTTTTGAAAATGGCTGGATCCGCCCCTGTGTTTGACAGCAGTGTACACTGAGAGGAATGAAGAGTTCGTTCAGCTGAGAATAAATTGGGTGAATTGGAGTTTGACAGCAGTGTACACAGGAGAGTAAAGAGTCCATTCAGCCCAGAATGAATACTATAGTGTGCATTGGAGTTTGACAGCAGTGTATACAGAGGTGGGGATAGAGTCTATTCAGTTGAGAATGAATAGTGTGCATTGGAGTTTGACAGCAGTGTACATAGATGAGAGAAAAGCATTGTTAATCTGAGACTGAATAGGATGTTTTGCATTTTACAGCAGTGTACACAGGAGAGTACCATTGAGCTGAGAAAGAAGAGGATATATTGGAAGTTTGACAGCAGTGTACATAGAGGAGAGAATAGAGTTCTTAAGCTGATAATGAATAGGGTGTATTGGGAGTTTGACAGCAGTGTACATAGAGGAGAGAATAGAGTTCTTAAGCTGATAATGAATATAGTGTATTGGGAGTTTGACAGCAGTGTACATAGAGGAGAGAATAGAGTTCTTAAGCTGATAATGATTAGGGCGTATTGGGAGTTTGACAGCAGTGTACACAGGAAAGTAAAGAGTTTGTTCAGTTCAGAATGCAAAGGGTGTATTGGGAGTTTGACAGTAGTGTACACAGGAGAGTAAAGAGTCCATTCAGCTGAGAATGAATAGGATGTAGACTGCAGTTTGAATATAAACCTCAAGCTGAGAATGAATACTTTACCTGATTTCTTTCATTTATTTTAGGAAGAAAGGGGAGGGGGGTACTTCACTGATAATTGTCTTATGTTTTAAAACTTTTTAGCTTCAATAATATTTTTTTGTTTTTTTGAGAATATTTCTGCACAATGTACATGCAGTTGTTCATACAAACTGCTGTTCGAGAATAATAATCATTAACATGGTAACAGATTTGAATTTCAATCATATTTTAATTAAGATGTATAAATATCAAATCCTATATACATGTATAAATTCATGTACATTATTAGACAGATCTAAATCTCCACTGATCTAAATTATATTTACAGTTAGGCCATAAGTGTAGATATTATTTTACTGTCACTGTCCAACATATCACTGTCTGTTGGACTAAATAAAGTGTTATAAGTAAACATGACCAGGGAATTAAACGGAAAGAAGGAATTAAACTATTTTACATTTTCACAGTCCTGCATCTAATTTAGAAGATATTTGCAACTGGACATTAACCCAATTGAATGGAAATCAATCAGCCAACTTCTGCTTTAAATATGTATGGTTTTCAGGATGTATAAATACACATCCATGTTCATTTTCTATATAGAGATTGCTTTATCTATATATAACATCATATTTATTATAAGATTAAATCCAAACTATCCTATTGCCTGTCGATACTTTTATTTTGGCATTGCACAAGTCATGTCATCTTTGACTGTCCATGGCGTTAAAACACTAAATCCCTGGGATGTGTTTTAGTTGATTTTAGTCTTTGATGCACAATTTTTTATTATTAATAATGTGTTTTTGGCTTTTAACTAGCTTTCAGTAACTGCAAGTACTCTCAAATCGTACTTTCGTGTTAACTTGACCTGTTATACAATTTGTAATGCATGTTATTCAATGTTTACTTATTTTGTGTTATATCTCTTCTCACTATTTTTAATATGTACCACCTTTGATAAGTATTTATTATGACAATAAATTTTCACTGCTGTTCTCGTACTATGAACAAAAAATTTATTTATTTTGTAAAAAATATCTCTGTTCTCCTATTAAACTACAAAATTATTATATAAATTTACCTGTGTACATTATTTTATTTAACACCATTTTGTCCAAGGTCATAGTTGTCTTTTTGATATTGTGTCATAGATCGAATTTATTCGTTAAGTGTATGTTTACTTGTTTTTGTTTTTTACTTTTTACACATTGTGACTTGGATGGAGAGTTGTCTCATTGGCACTCATACCACAACTTCTTATTTCTATTTCTGATATGTACATTTCACTACTATTTGTTCCATTAATTACAACTTCAACTTGTAATTTTCCATTTTGCATTAATTCTGTTTAATATGAATTTAAAAAAGACAGCAACAGTTTAAAAAACTAAATCTAGCTAACTGTTTATGGATTTGAGTTATGCAATGAGATATGTTGATACAACTTTAATTTATATAATAATGATGATTTTCAAAGGAAATTTAATTCTTTGATAAAGATCTATGTCAAATTTTCTCTTGCTTGCCTGACATCATATGCCTTAAAGTCACTCATCATTATAATTTTGATTGTGTGACACAGTGATGACTGAGAGAAGGTGACCTTGAGGTACTGACTAGCAAGAAATGGTTTGACTTATCCCAAGTACTTAAATACAATATGATCAACATAGCTGCTTTACACTCTGACTGGCTCTATAAAATTTAAATAAGTATTGAATAATGTATTTCATACTTCTATGGGGGAAAATCTTCTTACAAAACTGCTATTTTTTTATTTGAATGACTGAGCATTTCTCTCTCTTTCTAATTGGACAAAAAATAGAAGACAGCTACGTTCTCTATCAGTATGTACAATTGATGGCCATGAAAAGAAGCAAAAAGCTAATCTAGTTAACAACATATCAGTTAAAATAATTGTGATAAAAAACTTTATAGTTCTGACTAGAGTTTCATGAACAATTCTAAGGTTACCAAGACTTGAAATTTTAGCTGACCAAAATCAACTTATCATTCTGTAATTTGAGAATTAACCTTTTAGTGAAGTTTTATTACCCTTGTCATCTGTAATCAATAGTTGCATAGAAGCCATTTAGAGTGGTATACCATATATATTTTTGCAGTAATATTTCAAAGGTTTCCTTATATCTTTAAGCCATATCACCAAATCACACTGCCACAGCTGATGCAATAGAGTATTCTATAAAGATAATTTACTCTACTCTATCTTTGTCTTTTTCATGATGTGTAGGCGTTCTTCGTATTGGAAAAAAGAAAAACAACAAATAATTGAATTTCCTTGGTGATAGACTAAGGAATATTGTCCTTGGATTACAGAATGGTTGTCAACTGTGGAGAAGAAATCAATTTTGGTATTCTTAACCTCAATTTTATTTGATAAATACATCCGAATAAATAAGCTCCTGGGGAGAATTGTCATAGCATTTAATTTTCAAAAGAACAGAAAAGGCACCGAAATTATGGAAAAAATGACAACAACGTATGAATGAAAATTACATAAACATTTCACATTAATTCTTAAAAGGACAGAAAGATGATGTATAAAAAACCAACCAAGTTAAAAATGAAATAGGACAACAACAGGCAATAAAAGACAACTTAATTATATGAGTTGTAATGGGACAACTATGATGT